TAGCGGTCCATGAGATTGCTCATAAAATATGCCAATCGCTTAGAATGCAGAAAAACATGATGTTCACTGTGCTCAATCTCAGAAATCATCCCATTTTCCCTTCCCAGTCAACTCCCCCAGTTTGGGATTTATAGGTTAAATAATCAGGAGATCCTTCTTCTCTCTGCCCTGCCAGCTCTGTGTGTAATAGCACACGTGTAGTTGGAAGCAGGGGCTTGTGAATCCATCATGAATTCAAAAGTCAGACCTACCACTTACCAGCTGTGTGACCTTGGGCACGTCAGCTAATCTGTGTGGGCCTCATTTACTGCATATGCTTTAGGGGGATAAAAAATGCTCACCTGATAGGGTCATTATGGCAATTAAATGATAGTGTGTATATATATCTCGAGCACCTGGAACATAGGAACACACAGAATAAGGCAGCAATTCTTGTAGGTGCTCCTGTATCTCTGCTAATACATAACCCGTAAGTCAACTGCCATCATCTGTTCAAATGTCTGTCCTCATCCCTAGATGGCGAGCATCTTAGGGGCAGGGCAAGGCTTACTCATCTACATAGCTCCAAAGTCTGGCTCAGCAAGTGCTCGACATTCTGAACACATTTCCTGAATCAATAAACCAATGGAAGAATTCAACAGTTTCCAAGGGTGGCAATTTATTTACTCTCTCTCCCTACATTAAAAAATTTGCCTCTCAAAATTCCAAACTGTGAAGTGCCCAGGCTCTCCCATGATTTTGAGTACAATGTCTGATTTGGCTTTGGGGTTAACCGCCTCTCTGTTCCCATAGCACCGGAACTAGCGATGGCTACGTCTCCGGAGGTGACGATGTCGGTGCTCTGCCCACATCATCTTTACTGGGCAGGTGCCTCCAGCCCACTGCTAACAGCACACAGCTGCAGCCTTTTCTGGAGACTTCTCCCCCATTAACATGAGCCCCTTGTCCACAGGTGTAGGGAGGTTATGTACACCTTTCCTGCCATGTAACCAGCTGCAGTCGATGACTAACTGACACAGGGATGCAAAAGTCTGGCCCTTTGGGATCATAATGCACCAAAGTGAAATCAGGTTGATGGTATGGTGGATCTGGTCAGTTACGAGGCTGTCAGTGTTGGGTTGTGTGTCTCAGTCTTCAGTCGGCTCACACATAGGGCAAAATCAAAGCCTTTCTTCAGAGTTGTTCTTATAAGGGCCCCATCCTATGTGAGTCTTCAGTTCCATTATAAATTGGGCAGGTCCCTCTCTCCCCCCATCATTTTTTTGGTAATTTGTTCACACTTGTAAAAGATAGGTCATATTTTAATCTTTCAGATTTGGAGTCTATTTGACTTATGAAGATTTACCAGTTTATGTACGGCAAAGAATCAAAACGACTTTCTTATTAATTTTGGAATTCTGGGATGTTCTAATTGCATCACTGACAGAAGTACAGGTTAAATTATTTGTGGTAAACCAGGTTTTTTCCAGAATGCTTGAAATATAACATTCTGGTGAGACAGGGAGAGAGATGACAGAACTGATTTTCTGAAGACTATATTCAAGACTAACAAAACACACACAGTGAGTGTATTTTCCCTCTGACAAGCTCAAGATTTTGTAGTGCCTCAAGTTGGAAATTATGAACAACTGTTAACTTCGCATTAGAGATACGTAGCAAAAATTCTAATGATAGAGATTGTTCACGTATTACAACAGAGAGCGTGGAGCCCGTGTGTAAACTGAGTTGACCTGATTGGTCTGCACGATGGCCAGGAGGTTTCCAGAGTGATCCTGCCACCACGCACAACCTCTTCACCCACAAAAAGGTCTGTGTGGGTGGGGCTGGAAGTGACATTAAAGACCATTTCTTCTAATTCATCTGTTTTGCTTTGCAGATGAAGAAACTGAGGACTGGGGAATGAAACCAGAACTACAGCTGACCCTTGAACAAGAGGGTTTGAACTGTGAGGGCGCAGGTCTACTCATAGGCAGAAGTTTTTCAGTAGCAAACACCGTGGTCCTGCACGCCCCACTGCTGGCTGAATCTGTGGATGCCGAATTTTGGATACGACGGCTTTCTACAGGTTTTATGCAGATTTTTGACAGCGCGAGGGGCAGCGCCTCTAACATTCACATTGTTCAAGGGTCAGCTGTATTCGTTTTTTAAAACATGTACCAGCTCGTTTCCCTGCGCTCTTGCCCTGGAAAGTCTGCCGCAGCTCTTGGCCATCCTGCAGTGGCCAGGCTAAGGATGAGCCCGGGGGGCAGCAGTGCGGGAGGGCTGTGCAGGGCGTGTTTTCTCCCGTCCTCAGCAGTTTCAGGGAACAGTTGTCCTGTGTGGTTGTGGCCAAAGAGACGAGATGGGAAGTGAGCTTCGGCTTGGCCGGCTAGCAGGGCAGCACCCTGCCTGCACCCCTGCACCTTGGGATGGTGCTGGGTATTCTGGGATCATCTGAGGCTGATAGTGGTCCCAAGGCCCATACGAGGCTACAAGTAGCCTGGAGTAGAGGGAGAGATGTGCGTTTTGGGTCAAGAACACCTCTGGGAGGGCATGTTGATGTTAGATTTTTTTTCCCTTCTTTCAGTCTCAAGGTTGCCTATTGGATTTCAGAGATGATGAAATGTGGAAGGGGTTCAGGATTTGGATTTTTAAGGGTTCACGGGCCAAGAGACTGGGTTATCTTGAGTGGCTCCAAAACAGACTCAAGACTTGACGATGTGGGGACCAAAGCCGGGTGGGATTCACAGGACCCTGGGAAGAGCACAGGGGCTGGAGCATCGCTGCCCGGAGTTACAGACCCCCGGATGCTGCTCAGACCTGCTCACGCCCAGCTCACCCCAGTGACCAAATTATTGTGGAGCTCTCAGAGCCCTTGGAAATCATTAAAGAAGCTGAGCCAGGCAAGGGGATGAAGACTGAGGAAAAGAAAAATGAAGTCTAGTGTGGTTCTGGGTGTAGACTGAATCCTAAATTTGGGGACCCCTCGTTTGCCTTTGCTGAGGGGGAGATGCTGAGTGGATTTATCAGTAGATTTGAGATACAGAGGCTGTTCATACAGGAAACACGTGTGTCAAAGGGAGCGAAGAAAGGGCAAAAGAGTAACCAATAAATAAATAACCCTCAAGCAAACAAGTCCCCCAGCATCACTGCTTGAAATGGCCTCATTTTTAAAAACAACAAACATAGAAGGGAAAATACAAAACAAAATATACTCTCCCCGTGCTGTTCTCTCCCAGGAGTTTATAAGCAGCTGGAGGAGATGGAAAATAGATTGTGCTGGTAACATAACAATTGCCCATGACATTTTCGGGAGAAACGGAATATTAGCTGAGAAATGATACAGACAGCTGTGAGAAAACACGACGCTTAACGTCTCACGTTTGTTTCATAAAGGTATTTTTAAAACCAGCAGGCAGTTTTCTGGGTTTTTGTTTATTTTTTTTTTTTTTTTTTTAATGACGCTGGGTCTTTCCTAAGCTCTCAAGTCACGTTACTGAAGATTTTTGATAATTAGCAACAAGGACAATCACCGACGTCACTGTAGGTGTTTGGACAGGTGGACAAGCACTGTCAGAATGTGGCACCGGACTCATCTATGGTGCCTTCCCCATGGCGTCCACGGGGCGCGGCTCCATCACCGGGTTCGTAATTAAGGCCAGACCAAGGGTCCCTCTCCGGGCGCGACCCTCCCAGCTCTCTGCAGGTGGCCGCCTGACACGTACTCTTTTTTGAGGGTCTTTGAAGTGAGTGTTTTGATGCAGCCACGTTGGCCTTATGACCACGTTTTGATGGAAGGAAAGAAGCTGTAGAATTTTAGCTTTCTGGAAGTCAGCAGCGGAATGGGTACTAAGGTCAAGATGCCAGATGTGTAGCTTTGACCCCATTTTGTTGGACCAGCAGCGGCTCTAACCCCCTCCCCCTCTTGC